ATTCCTAGAAAAGTCACCTACAGCAGACCCTACCAGGTATATTCCTCATGGCAGATAAGCAACAGATCAAGCAACATCCAGGCCTTGTATTATATACCTGAGGAAGCTAAAGTAGACAGGGGCATCATACTAAACAGCATCTCTTGTTACAATTCAAACATTTACAGTGATAGAGAAGGAACACTGGTGGGTTCCCAAGTTTTAGGATATCTTTATGGTGTAAACAGTTCACAGTTTTTACTCTCATTAAAAAGTACCCTTTTAGATCTTGGCCTGTAACATTGTCTAGACATGAAGAAGGCACTCTACTTGCTAATGAAACTGAAAAACTCATTTTGACATTTAATGTGTCATATCTATTTTATTTATAATCTCTAAACAGTAATGAGACATCTCCTTTGTAAAATAGGATTAAACAGATCTGTAAACTGCTAAATAGAACTCTGGTGAATTTGATTTGTGAAGGAAATGAAGGTTTCTCTTTTTCATGACTTAAACAAGAACCCTTCCAAGAGGCTCTTAAAGGGGAGAGGTGGCAGGCAGCCTCCTCACAAGTGATGACAGCAGCACCTAAATCAAGTGTCACACAGCTTCAAACCCTAAGGAGTCATCAGTCATGCTTGCAGGAGGGGAAGGAGCAGCCTCCTTCCTTGAGATCAATGAGGCAAACACAGAATACTCCTTCTGCACTCCTAAGGATGATTGATGACTCCTTAGCAGCTGAAGTGTGTGACATTTGATTTCACTCACTGATAAGATTGTGTCTTCCAAACACCTTCTAGTTAATGTTTCCAGGGCCCCCACATAGCTGTTCTTTGTGATATTTTTTAACACAAAGCTCAATTGTTCAATGATTAATGAATTTCTCAACAACAGATGAAAATTCTATAAGAGAATTTTGTAACTGTGTGCCTTGATAGTCTGATCACAACACAAAACAGGAATCTAGGCTCCTTAAGAAAACTGATGGGAGATCTCCTGCCCCTGCCTCTGTCAAATGACACTTGCAGGCAAAACAATCCTAAAAAAGAACTATCTTTTCTTTTCCTGAAGAATTTATTATATACACTTGAGGTCTGCTTATCAGAAAAGCTAATGCATTTATTGATATTGATTAAAAGTAGTTTCCAAAATTTTAATAAGCAGATTTCCACAAGGTTATCCATTTCCACAGACTTGAAATGTGCTTTACAGCTTTCTTATTTTTCTTACAGCATCATATTCTTATTCAGTTATTTCCTGTTTTGAAATGATGCAATCAGCATGACTTGAAACTATGCTTTGTAAGTCCAAGGTACACTTGCTTATAGGTTTTAAAGTATCCCAGCTTTATATTGCATCCTGTTGTATCACATGCCATGTTACATAAACTTTTTAGGATCACTTAAATCTCACAGCACTATTTATATTCATTTTTGTGGTTTTGCCCATTGTTTTTGCTTTTAAGAATGATATTGAATTAAATGCTTTAAGCAGATGTATTTTTAACTTTCTTATGAAATGAATAACATTTTTTGATCCTGATTTCCTAAGTGCCATGTTTGGCTGGATTCCACTCAATGTTTTTGGAAGTTTTAGACTTTGCACAAAAGTCGTGACGTTTTGATAAATACAAGTTCAGAAGTCTGTCAGAAAATCCATTCAAAAGGAGAGAAACTGTACTGGTTGTCAATCCTACCCTACTCTGTAAGTTTGTTTGTCAAAAAGCATACTGGTAAATAGAGGAGGAAAACTGCAGTACAATCCAGAAAAAGATGATGACTGTGGCTCTCCCACCCTTTCAGAATGAATGACTGGAACAGAGTGGCAGCACTGTCAAAGAAAAACGCTCCACGTAACCTTCATCACTTTGCCAAAACCAGCCCACCAGAAGAAATCAAAGAGAAATTCCAAGTGTGGACTTGCCAAATGAATCTTTCATCTAAATTTTAAAACAAAGACATTGCTCTTGCCAAAAATTGCTAAACTTTGCTGAGGCCTCACGTGAAAAATCAAGAGCTCTGACTATTTGGAATTCAAATTCAATGTAAAACTTGGGCTTACTCCCAATTTATGCAAATGAGACACTGCATGCTACTTGAAGGTCTTTAAATTAAAAATGATCCTGACATAGAACTGTGCCAAATTAAGTCAGCAATGATGAAATGATAAAAAAATGGTGTTATGAACTATCCTGGCACTTAAAGACATGATGAAGTCTCCATAACACTTGGAAACCTTGTTATTATGAAAACACTCTTTTTAAGTCAACATCTTATTTCTAAAATGTTACACTCTCAAGGAATTTAAAATACTTTCTTTTAAGGGCATACAAAATTAAAAAATATATTTATGTTGAAGAACACACTTTAAAAAAACTATTACCATAATGATAAATTTCTAATCCTGACATACTTTCATGTCACACAAAAAAAACCCCCAAAAAACAACAAAACAACAAAAAAAGCCAAAAAACAAAAAACCCCCACATTTTGGACAAAAATGTTCCATTTATAATATAACCTTATTCTATTTACTCGTATTTTTCTTCAGTAAAGAACTGGAACAGCTTTTCTTTCTAAAACTGATACAAAATTACTTTATATTCTCTCTCATGGTTCATTACAAGATAAACTAAAATCACACTCAAAGGATGCCCTTCCTTAGCAATGCTGTTGTTAAGGACAGCAAAGCTGGCAGGTAAACCCAGGTTGGCAGGGGCTTGTTTTCCAATTGAAAGTGTACTACCTCAAATACTTGTGCATATTCTATGAATACTATCCAGCCCAAGGAATACTTTTCACGTTCCCCCTAAGAGAACCTGTATTTTAAGAGTATATGTATTTTAACCTGTATTTTAAGATTTTTTAAGGGTACATTTGCTCAACAATTAGCCACAGTTCCAGCAGAAAGAACTTCTTTATGTGATAACTGATAATTCCCAAATTCCTTTCTCTACCACTTTCATTGGAAAACAAGGAAGTTAAATTCTCCAAGGAAAATCATGTCCTGAAACAGCCTGACAGGTTTCACTTAAAACTCAATTCATACACAGATATGGGTTTGTGCATCCCTTTTCCCTTCTCTCTTGTTACTCTCCAACACAGTCAACCCCTTAAATTACCAGGATAAATATTTAAACAGTATTTTCATTAGAACAACTGATCAGCTGGAAGAGAGAGATCTTACTGGTGTGTTCTCTGAAAGCACTGAGCAGTTGTGCTCAGAAATATCTACTAGAATTCAAATAATCTAGAGGGAAGAGGGCATTTACGAATACCCAAACTGGGAGAATTCATGATGGAAGGGCATGGATGATGGAAGGGAATTAATGATGGGAGGTGAAAGATGGGTGGGAAAAGAGGCTTAGCCTCTCATTGCTAAATATGTGCAAGTGCCCAGATTACCTGTGTAACACATAAATGCAGAGGAATACAAACATTTCCCAGAAACAGCTGAGGTGCACAAAAAGAGAAGAAACCAGAGAAGACTCTTGGAAACCTGCCTGATTTCCTGTGAGCACACAGGCCACATGCTTGGCAACCTCACAGGGAAACCCAGCTTGCATCCCTGTGACTCTCAAGCACTTGTCTCCCTCTGGGAATGAGGGACTGTTTCTTGAAGAAATAGTGATTTTCCCAATCTGCACTCATGAGATGACCAGACTGTTTTGAACTGGAACTCTTTTCTTTGTCCAAAAATTTCAAAAATCAGGGACATTTTTCTGACCCAGCACACATCTTCAACTACACCAAGATTTAACATTAAATGGTCCACCCTTCACCACTCACTCCTATTGTTTAGAAAATTTTAATTCTGGCATTCCCTAAATTCTAAATTTGAAACCTATAAAAAGGATTATGCATTTAGAAAATTCGCAGTTCTGCAGTCTTGCAGGTTTCTTAAATGTTTTTATTCTTATTAGAAAAAATGTCTATTTAAAACAAAGCAAAAATGTTAAACTAAGAGTTTAAAATCTTTCCACCTATCTATTATAGCTATAAAAAAGGATTATAGGTTTTCATCCTCCATTTGGATCCATTAGTAAAGAAGTGCTCCTCTTATTGTTCTCATTTATATTTACTGAAAATGGAATGTCTCAAATTAATTCCATTTTAGAATTGCATTGAGAGCATGCTCTAATTCACACAGATGGGATTTTTTCTTTCACTTCTCCTGACCTCTTCTATCTAACAAGTTTCCTTGCATCCTGCAGTTTTCCCAAGTCCTTCTCCTTATCCAGTGAAACCAATCTGAAATCCAAGATTTTAATTCAAGCAAATGAAGTGGCACCACACCACTTGTCTATCACATTGTCTACTTCCCCACAGGACCCAAAATCCTCCAGATTTCAGATTTCCTCCATAACGAACACTCACATTCAAATCCATGCCTTTCCTTAAAATGATCAGTCACTACCATATCCTCCTCAGCTCTATGAAACATCTTTTTGGCTTATCAGTAAATCTTTTCCTCTAAACTGAGTCTAAATTCAAACACATTCAGAGATCTCCCAGTGCATTTTTGGTTCCTCATCAGAACTGTTGCATGTGTCCCACAAGTCTTTTAAGTTTTTGATATGGCTTAAACCCAGACTATTTGTCCATTATCAGGCCAACACTGGGCCATCACCCTAACTCATGGTTTCTCTGGCTCACCTTTTCAAGTTCCCCTCCAAGTCTTCCCAATACCAAGATATGCCACTGTCTAAAGAGCAGTCTAAATTCCCATCTAAGAGTTTCAATTTTCTTGTCTCCATTCCTGGCAGATTTACACTCCTCACTCTGCCATTACACCACATCTCGTCCTTCTGACAGACTGAAGGAACATGGGAAGGTTTGCAGATCATAAAAATAAAAGACTCTGAAAAGGAATTGGCCAATTCCAAATTACAAATGAAGTCTTAAAAGTCTCTTGCCAGAAGCTGTAAGTTATTCTCTAAATTAAATTTTTAAAAATAAAAAAAAAAAGAAATTAAATTCATGTTCAAATCACAGAATAGACAGCTATTATTTGCTCACCTGAAATATTTGCTTCAAGGAAAAAAGTGCCCGTCTCAGCTCCCGTCCACTGGAATTGTAAAGTTTTTCTGGGAAAACAAAATAAGACAACAGAAAAAACTTCAGCATAAACAAAACTGACAACACAACAAGAACGTAGTACAGTTTTTGAAAGAATCATAGCACCCACTTCCCATTAGGCAGACTTCTCTTAAAAAAATTAGTTTTTTAAAATATAGATACAGGACTTATTCATTAAATGTGCATGTACCCCAGGATTTAGTTGTCTATAACTTAAGATGGCATCTTCCAGGTAAATTCACAATAGCTTCAACAAGATCCATGAGAAACAATTGTCTCTGGAGTTTTTGAAAATGCTTAGAAATACTGCTCTTTCTGCATTAGGTAAATTTAGGGTTTACTGAAAGTACCAGATTAATCTCAAAAGACTTGTCTGAGACCACTCTTTGCCTTTGTTATCAAAGCTAGAGCCACTGAATCCCATCCTTGACTGCCTTCCCTCTAGACATTCTTTTCTCATGTTCTCATCTTTCTATTGTTAAATCCTTTCTCCAATAGAAATGAACATTAATACCAGAAATAGTCGGACAGTCTGTTCTTAGCATAATTCAAAACAGTGTTTTATTCTCCTGAAAACCGATCTTGACCTTTTTCTAAATGAACCAGAAGCCTTCTTTTCATCATCCAATACTGAAATGTATTACTTCATTTATTCCCCTACTAATGCATTCTCACAGAAATAATTTAAAGACAAAAGCAACTCTGCTATCCTTCTACAATCCCTGCTACAACGTTTGTGCCTTGGGAAGAAGTCTTGGACTGTGCCTCTCAAGTCTGTTGTTGCAAATTTGTGACTGTGCAAGGATAGAGCAGAAGGTGAGCTCTTCAAACCTTCCTGGTCTACCATGCTTGGCATATTTGATAGAAAGAGACTTTATTCAACACATCTACAGTCCTAAATTTAATTTTATTACACTACTGTAATCCAAGAGCAATGACAAAGGAAAATCAAATCTTCATGGTCACCTCAGATGACACACTTGCCTCATCCACAAATCATCATGAAAGCACCCTCTCCTCAATCGACAGAGCGGTGGCCTGTAGTGGCCAGCAGGTCTTGAGATCAAAGCTGGAATGCCCATGGAATGATAATAATCTTATGAGAAAATTAAATATCGAACTTCAACATCTTATATCTTACTTTCCCTTGTCTATTTCTCTTTCAATGACTACTTTACACTACAAAACCAAATTAAATTTTATTTTCCTCTGTCAGGAAGTTGCAAAAAGGGGACTAGCATTTGAGGATTCAATGCATTTATAACTCAGTCATCATTTTTTACTTCAAACAAGGAAGGCGGGGTCTAATGTTAGGAAAAAAGCATTTCTTATTCCAAAAGTCATCTTCAACCAAAGGAAAAATTTGAAGCAAAATGTCAGCAGAACTGACACTAATTTTTTTTAACTTTGAAAGTAGTTTTGTTCATCCCTAATTGCCTCTGATTTCAAAGGCTGAATGTACAGAACTGGCAAAACTATTGTTTTTATAAGTTTGTCTCCTTTCTTGCACTTTTATAGATTCTTGACAAAACATTGGAGAAACAGATTTCACTTCAAGCTTATAAACTTAGAGGCACACTTTAATTACTCTCACTTAAAAATGCACTGGCATGTGGGACCACATTTCTTGGCAGGATAAAGAGTAATTTTGTCAGGAAAGCCTAAAGAATAATAAAGATCTTCTAAGACCCGGTCTGTCAACTTTACATGCCACATTACACAAAATATTTCTTTTTGAAAGTTACTTCCATCTGGCATTTGTTATTACTAATTTCCCTCTATTCACAATTCACCAGCATCATTATGAGCAGAACGTCTCCAAACAAGGCAGTGCGTTATCATCTTAATTAAGAGCGGCACCACTTCTTAAAGTCCTGGCAACTTTGTACATAAATATCCACGTCCTAACAAATGCCATCTGTTGGTCTTGGTCTTGAACAGAAATCATCATCCCAGCCTGGGGTGAAGTCCTAACAAACCATTGTTATGATACCATAACACTGGTTGTTTCATTGGTGCATGAAGATTTTTGGTACATTTCAGAGGAACAATGTTGAACGTTTTTTCTCCTTGGTGTTTTCACAGAGCATAACCTCATCCTTGGCAGTCAGCACAAACAATGCTCTCCCTGCTCGTCTGTAGCAAGGAGGACAGAAGTTACTGACTGCAGCTCAAAAAGGGGTCTATGGATAGAGCTAAGAATCAACAACTACTGCAAGTATCAAGCTTGACAACAAGTATCAAGTTGTGGCACGTGTCACAAATGTTTGAGGTGGGTTGCAAATCCATCTGAGGAGTGACAGTCCAGGTAAGTCATCTCACTTCTGACATCTTCTACCAGAGACCATGTACACTCGCAGGTACCTCCTCCCGCAGAGCTGATCTTTTTCACTCAGCTCAAACATACAAGTCCACAGCATCTTCACCTGTTACTCTTACACACAGGCAACACACTCTCTGCATAAGTCTTGACACCCACTTCTTACAGTGTTGGCAGCCACCAGAAACATTCACTGGCCATAACCCAAGGAGGAAAGTGAGGTGACCATGCTACATCAGAAGATGTTTTGGTTTTGAAAACCTCAGTCAAGGATGAACCTCACCCAGGGCAGGAAATGCCTGCATAAGCCAAGGTACTACTACTACTACTCTGGATGGACATTTAAAAAAGCTTGTACTTTTATTGTGTGTGCTTTTTTTCATGTTACAGCTGGGGGACACTTGCTAAGATGTTCTCAAGGTCTTAGAGAATTCCCATTTGTTAACAGTAACTTTGGCACCCCAGGGACCTCAGGCTCATCTTGAAATCTCTAGACTGCTAGTGAGGCTACAAAAATGCATCAGCAGGAACTGAAAGCAGAAATCAGTTCTGAGCTCTTTTCCTATGCCAGAAAAACAAAATTAAAAAAAAAAAAAGAAAAAAGAGAGGAAAAGCCACATTTGCTTACAATGTTTTCACACTGCAGATGATTCAGAAACTACATAGCAAATGCTTTTTAATGCTTGTTTGACACAAGCAGTTTAAAGTGTTTCCCTCTGAAGCAGACTGAGAAATAACTTTCCATGTTATAGCAAAGAGGTAACTAATTCCCATAGTACCTCCCTGGCAGAGCTGTCTGTAACTGAAACAAATTATGCCTACAGCTTTGAAACAGGAGTCTAGCCAGCTACTATCACCAAACCCAGAAAATTCTGACGTGCTCCAAGGACAGTCCAAAAGATTCCCAAGTTCACTGCTTTGTTATAAGGTATCTGATAAGCTTGAATGTGTACACCAAGACTGCTTTACACCAGAAAACAAACCTCTGTATTTCAAGCAGGAACATGTGCTGCTACACCTCTCCCTGAAACTTCTCTGGTCCTTTGGTAAAACACACTTCCTGTCCTTCTCCAGGCCAGGTGCAGGCTGGAGACATTCTACATTCATATACTTCAAGGTAAGATGAAACAGGTCAGTGAGTTCGTAGGTCAGGGAGTTTGTGATACCTGACACTGTTAATGATGGTGGCTTTGAAAGCCGTGTCCTGATAAGTGACACTATTGCAGCCACTATTACTACCTTTCTTCAAGATATAAAGAGCTGCATCTGTGGCTGTAAAATATTTTTAATTACATATACACAGATGACAGAAAATTTTCCTTGTGGCTCCCTCTGACTTAACTAACACTAGAGGGCACTGCTTATTTCCTTATTCTATGAAAGAAAAGGCACTCTGCCCCTCCATGGGCTTCCCACTGATAGAGCAGAACTGTTTGGGATGCAGAGTTGATACTCCATTACCTGGGAAACCCTGTTTTTAATCTGTAGACTGTAAGATATCTGAAGAAATTAAAAAGCATCAGCTCTGCCAATCTCAAACATTCAAAATCAGAGTAAACTCTTTTGGAACTGATAGAAAACCAGGTACTGGTATGGGCCTGAGTTTTATTTACTGCAAGAACCAAGAGTCACATCTATTAAATTATCCTTCACATCATAGCAGGGAGGTGTATATCCTTGGAAGACAGAGGATTTCCTTATCTCAGCACTTGTTTCTAGAGGCAGAAAATCACAGATAGCCAGACTTGTGGTAGACCAGACATGTGTGACAAGTAGCAACCTGCAAGTGGCTATTTTGGTTGCTGTTGCAACCTGCAACACCAGAACTTTGGTTAAGAGAAGCCATTATGCTCTAAAATAAAAATATTGTTTGTTACTCTGTATTTTTTGCTTGTGTTTACTATTGTGAAAAATAACTCGGGCTAAGGGAAAAGGGATTCCTATAGGTAAATTTGGGACAAATGTAGCAGTGGAGGGAAGGCAGATTGGTTTGAAATCAACATCTTTTCAGAAAGGAAGAGAAATCTTTAAAGATATTTTATTAGACAACTTGCAGCTTTCAAATGGATTCTGTATTTTCAAAGATAATTGTCAGAGGTTCAAATTTCATTGGTTTTCACCGATTTTGATTACTTGGGAAAAGGGACTTTTTAAAGAAAATAGCAATTTGTCCTTATATTCTTAAATAAAGTAATGACTTTTCTTCTGCCTTCTATGAGGGAAAAAAAAAGAGTGTTTTCAATCCACAGTAATAAAAGAAAAAGTGGAACTGGCTGAACATTGCTTGGTTCAGTCCCATGTGTTACACCTGACCTCTGACCGAGAGGGTACCATCCTCCTCCCTTCCTCTTCCATCACACCCATTGAATTAGTCCCTGGGATATAGTAATTTATACAGCATCAGCCTTTGAGCTGTTGGCAAAGGCTTGTGAACATCTGGCTGAGCACAAATGGGAGTTGCTCTGCTTCACTTGCTGCTGCCTGAATGACCTCCATGTCTCCCATCCGTGCCTCTTTTCTTTAAACTATAATTTCAAGATGAAGCTCCTTTCCTTACAAAAACATAAAAGGGAGATTAACTCCACATTTGATTACATTAGCAGGATACCTGGTGCAGATCCACTTAAATGACATTTGAAACATTTCCTGCCATTCATTTTTACCTGGTATTGGACAGAAGTAGCAACA